CCTGGCATGGTAGCCTGGCAGCTAAAGTCCTCTCCTTGCATGCACCAGGATCCCATATGGGCACCAGTTTGTATCCTGGCTGCTCCACTTCTGTTCCAGTTCTCTGCTTATGGTCTGGGAAAGCAATCGAGGACGGCCCAAAGCCTTGGGACCCTGCACCCATGCTGGAAACCCAGAAGAAGCTCCTGGCTGCTGCTTTTGGATTGGCTCAGCTCTGGTCGTTGTAGCCGCTTGGGGAGTGAACCAGCGATGGAAGATCTTTCTCTCTACCTCTTCTCTCTATAAATCTTTCTAATAAAAATAAATCTTTAAACAAAAAGACTGAGGTTCGGAAAAACTACAACAAAACATGATGGCTATGAACAAGAACTAACACAAGTAGATATTTTTGGATGACAGTCAAAAAAGTAATGAAAGCAAACTGTTACCCAAATTTCTGGGTTTTGTGTGCCCAGAGGTTTCTTGTTTTTGTGTGGTGGAAGGGGCACAGAACGTGCCAAAGTCTGATCATAAGCCCCCTGCTTTCTGGGTACAAGGGACCAGGGGAAGGAGCAAAGGGCAAGCAGAGGAGCAGCAGAGAATCAGGGAACAGTGCTGGAGCAGAGAAACCGGAGCAGGGGACCGCCCGGGGCAGGTGTGCCAGCCCGCCCTGTGTCCGTGTGCCACTCAGCCATGCTGCTGGCAGAGGGAAAGCCTTCTAAGATCCCAGCCCCCACTCCTCCACAGGCATGTAAGAGTAACACTGAAACAAAAATCCAACCTGGTTCTTAACAGGAAAGCCAATCACACAGACTCGACCTCAAGGAAACTGGAAAAGGCAAAGAACTCAACACAAGCAAGAGGAGCAAAATCAAAAGTTACAACAACAAAAACAGAAGCCCACTAAATAAGGCACAGCAGACAATACAAAAATAAATAAATGACCCAAGTCAACAAGCTGATTCTTCACAAAGCTCACCAAAATCGGTAACCCTCGCTAGAACAATAAAAAAGAAAGGAGGGCAGAGATGACCAGTAACCCCAACAATTACTGCCACCATTCTGCAGGTACTAAAAGATAATAAAGCCCACAGAGAAAGGTTTAACCTATGAGATGGCTGTTAGCAGTTGCAGTGCTGAGTCATCCCCCTCGAGAGAGCTGTATGCACAACTCAACCACCGACCCATCAGCACAGCCTGGAGCGTCAGATCTGCACTAAGCGCCCTCCCCCTCCGGACTCTGGCGGGCCAGTGGCTTCCATCCTAACCATCCAGCCTGAGCAGCTCCTCAGGCAGCACAGCAGGAACTCACTCACCTGGGCTACCCGGTGCTTTCCCAGCTATCTGCCTCCCCTAAAGTGCCTGTGTCCATTGCTACTTTTAAAAACATTTCTTGTAGCATTCCTAGTATGCTCCAATCTCAGGCCTACAAAATAAACAAAAAAACTCAATTTCCTCAAATCATTCCTATAAAAATTATGAAAGGAAAGACAATTTCCGGTAACTAAAGACAACTGTCTACACATTGAGTGTGTGACTAGAAAGCTTGGCTGTATTTGAAATACTGTTAAAATCTTACCCCATTTCATAGGACGACATTAGAAATATAAAAATCCTCACTACAGGTAAGCTCTTCAGAGGTGACCATTAACAGGGTGAGGACAGCGGCGGTCTTGTGCGAGGCTTCAGGTCCACTCTGACGACCCACTGTCCCACCTGAGAGCCAGAGTGGGGAGAACTGGAGATGCCCGTCTGGCCTGGCTGGGTCATCTCTTACCTGAAAACCCCAGCACGATGGACAGTCCTGTTCACAACAGCACCACTCAACAAACAGCAGCAGGGATCAAGCCAACTGGCTCCTGGCAATAACACCAGAGTAATGAGCAGTATAGCAAGGTTCCCTGTAAGAGAAGTTTGGAGGCTGGTGTGGTGGCTCAACAAGCCAATCCTCTACCAGTAGCACCAGCATCCCAAATGGGCACTCGGTCACGTCCTGGGTGCTCTACTTTTGATCCAGCTCTCTGCTTTTGGCCTGGGATAGCAGCAAAGGATGGCCCAATTACTTGAGGCCCTGCATCCATGTTGTGAGATCCAGAAGAAGCTCCTGGCTCCTGACTTCAGATATGCTCAGCTCTAGCCATTGAAGCCATTTGGGGTTCACTTTGTCTCTCCTCTGTAAATCTGCCTTTCAAATAAAAAATAAATCTTAAAAAAAAAAAAAAAAGAGGGCCCAGCGCGGTGGCGCAAGTGGTTAAGGTCCTTGCCTTGTACGCCCGGGATCCCATATGGGCGCCGGTTCTATCCCGGCAGCCCCACTTCCCTTCCAGCTCCCGGGCCACAACGGGAAAGCAGTCGAGGACGGCCCAAAGCTCTAGGACCCTGCACCTGTGTGGGAGACCCGAAAAAGGCTCCTGGCTTCGGATCAGCATAGTATCGGCCGTTGCGCTCACTTGGGGAGTGAATCATCGGACGGAAGATCTTCCTCTCTGTATATCTGCCTCTCCAATAAAAAAAAAACAATAAAAATAAATCTAAACAAAAAAAAAAGAGAGAGAACTCTGATATGAAAGATACTAAAAATGGCTTTTAAAAATGTGGACTGGATTTCCTATTACCAAAAGAAGATAAGTGTCAGTTAAAAAGCAGCTCCTTATATGTAAATCAGAAAGTTTGTAACACAGCCAAAGAAGCCATTATGAACTTCTATATAAATAGGCATTTAATGATTTTTTTTCTATGTTACATTATTGATCTAACAGGCCCTCTGTTTCCGCTGAAATGATAAGTAATTTGTTTAAGATAACATTCAAAGGAACTGCCGCACATTAGATTCCTGAGCCCTTCTCATCATTTGAATTACCACTATAACAAATAGTTCACATGGCCTTTCAATGAAACAGCTGAATAATTTTAGAAATGACACAAGACTAGGAATGTTAAATAAATCTATCATATGCAAAGAGGCTTTTGAAAGTCATAATATCATGAGTGTCATTGAATAGGATTCAATAAATATTGAGTAGTTACTTAGTGATGTCAGACACTGCTGCTGTATGCCATGAGAACACCACAATGAATCAAGAGGTTACACTCTATCCTGAAAACAGGTACAATGAATACTACCTAGGTAGGGTCCACTCCCTGTAAAAGGACAGGAAATGCAGAGAAACTGGCGTGGAAGCCGCGATGAGGCAGGAACTGGGCCACAGCCAGGTTCTGGAGGGGGCTGACCAAGCAGAGAGCTTCTGGCCAAGAAGACTACAGCTGAGCCAGAGTGGTCAAACTGCCAGGCATTCTGTCAAGAGGTGCCATTTGTGAAAGAAAAGAGACTATCTTGGAAAAGTAAACATTAATAGCCAAGGCAACCATCCACTTCTTAATCTAGGAAGAAAAAGATAAAATGTCATCATTCATGCTGGCCTGCTCTCCACACCACACAAACCAGTGCATGCCAGGCCAGAGAGCATATAGTGCTGCGCAACAGACCCAGCACTGCTCAGGAAGGCGCACAGGAACACAAACAGTCCAATGAAGCAGGGAGCTCCCAGAGGGCTCGCACAGTTCCAAATGCAGCTTGCTGAATCCAGTTATCACATTTTAACAAATCATCTAAAGTTAAGGAGTAACTATTTGATAGCCAATATGGTGTATCAACAACTTTGACATCACATACACAAAACAAAGAATTATGTTTGCTCGCTCTTTCTTTCTTAAAGATCTGTTTTATTTAATTGAAAGAGTTACAGAAGGGGGAAAGGAAAACAGAGTTAGAGATTTTTCATCTGCTGGTTCACTCCCCAAATGGCGGCAATGGCCAGGGGTGGGTCAGACGGAAACCAGGAGCCAGGAGCCATTTCAAGGTCTTCCTCTAGTCTTCCACATGGGTGTGGGGGCCCAAGCACAGTACTTATTTTCAAATAAATACTAGTAATTAGTGATGTGCACATTATAAAGCACTTTTATCTTACACACTCTTGTTTCACTGCTCATAGCAAAGGAGGCCAAGCCGACATTGTAACTGTCAAGCACAAGTTGTGCAGTGTCAGGTTCTCAGCTGGGAACTTCATGTCCAGATCCCAATTCCTCCCCATGATGATCCTGCCAAGTAACTTACAGCATGTCCTTCACTCACACAAGGGGCTGAAGAACCTGTGGTTACAGGGTCTCCTGCCCAAAGTAACCTCTACAACACACAGTGTAATCCTGGGATGGCCAAACAATTACAAACTCTGAAACGCTATGTTTCTATAAGTTTTCTTACATAACTACTTAACAGTTACACTATGAGAATTATAAAAACTTAGGACAGGATACCTGGTTTAATAAAAAATCAGACATGTCACTTAAAGTTTACGAAAACCTTTTACCTTTCATATCAGGGTCTTGAAATCTATTTGAATATGTAGCATAACAACACATATTTTTCAATATTTTACTGAGTAATTTTTCATCTTAAGAAAACAGAACATTTCATGATGGTCAGTATCCAAATTAGGGTCAACAGGAGATTTAGTGTTCCATTTTTCTAGAACTCTATTTTAAAAGTAATGACTATCATTTTGTTTGTAAAGCAAGGGGTTTCATAAAAATTAACGGTTAAGGTAAATCACGAACATTCGCAGATGAATGTGGAAATCACAGACATAAGAAGCGGCTCTCACATTTCAATGTCCGTCCACGTCCGCCCACGTCCTCCCCGTCAAGTGCCTACTTTTAATTCTCAAGGTACCTCAGCAACTCATTTTAGAAAAAGCCTAACAGGAAAGGAATAGAATGAAGCCGAGTGGAAAAACATACCATGGACATCCAATAAATAAAAAAATTCTTTTTGCCTTATTTTCTCCTATTTATATTATACTTACTACTCATTTCCTTTATTTTTAGAGACAAGCTGAAAAACCAACGAAGCAGCTAAGCTTGTCATCAGATGGCAGAACCTCCAGCTTTCAACTGAGGGGGACAGGCGGGAGTGCAAGATGTCGATTTAACTTCAACATAAAACAGAGGCTTAAAACACTTACCAATCTGCACCTGCTCAGGCTGGCTGAGGGAAACAAATGCTGACGTGTCATCAATCCAGGATATCTGAATGTTACCTGCAACAGCGCAGGGAAAGCCGAGTGAACACGTGCCTGTGGAAGCGCTTCCAGACTCAGGACGAGTACTGGTTCAAAAACCTGTGCACAATTTCTGCACTCTAAGAGAGACAGCTCATTTAAAACAAATTATTTCAGTTACAACTTCCACAGAAAAGACAAAAAAGTTTTAAAAAGAAATTAGAAATTCATTAAAAAAAAAAAAAAAACCTTCCAACTTAAAACCTGGAGTGTGCCGGCTTACTGCACCACTTCGAGGCTGCTTTTTCTTTGACTTGGTAGGAGGGTGGCAGGCCCAGTGAGGCACGGATACCCTGCGCCCCTCTGCCTCACCCTGTGCGACACATGGATGCTTATTCCCAACTTGCGTCCTTTATCATCAACCAGGAAATGAGACATGTTTTCCCCAGTTCTAGAAGCCATTATCAGTCAAACTTGAGAAAAGGCTCAGTGCTGGAAAACAGCCTGAAATGTCACACCCATTAGGATGGCTATCATAAAAAAGGAAAATAACAGCAAAAGAAAATTCAGAGACCATGTAAGTTTATTTTTTTTAAAAAAAAAAATTAATATTGCAGGTCTGGCACTGTAGCCTAGTGGCTGAAGTCCTCGCCTTGCACATGCCTGGGCACTGGTTCTAATCCCAGTGGCCCTGCTCCCCTTTCAGCTCCCTGCTTGTGGCCTGGGAAAGCAGTGGAGGATGGCCCAAAGCCTTGGGACCCTGCACCCGCCTGGGAGACCCCGCAGAGGCTCCTGGCTTCAGAATGGCTCAGCTCCAGCTGTCGTGGCCACTTGGGGAGTGAATCAATAGATAGAAGATCTTTCTGTCTCTCCTCCTCTGTGTATATCTGACTTTTGAATAGAAGTAAGTAAATAATTAAACATTTTTTATTGCTATTTTACTACTGACTATGTGAGAGATGGGTTTGCTGACCCACGTGGGCCTCTGTTTAGGGTGGAAGCGTCAGGATGGGGGCAGGTGGGTGAGACAGATGTTTTATTTTCCTGAGTCCGGTTAGAAGAATGTACCACTCCTCGCTGCTGAGACCACGGAAGTTTCAACACAAAATTATTTGTTTTTACAGACATAATTTTGAAAATTGAGGATGGGGAGCATGGAAACAAGTCGAGCCTGATGCCCAGTCCAGGCAAAGGGAGGTAACTGGCAGAACGTCGAAGAGGCAAAACAAGGAGCCCGAGAGCCAGCCAGTGCGGAGGCAGCGGGCAGAGGGACGAGCAGGGCGCGGGTGGGGACACACGCAGCACGCACCCGCACACTCGGGCCAGCTGACGCAGCAGAGGGGACGGGAGGGAGGAGGGCAGGCCACCGGCTAGCACAGAACGAGTCAAAAGCATCTCAATTTAGGAAATACAATGTTTTATCCTATTCAAATTTTGGAAGGGCACAAATTTTTAAAGCTGTTTTACTGTATCACCAAATGGGTGAAAAAAGTTTTCTCCCTTCAGCTGCATATTAAGGTCAATCACAAAAGTTACCGATACTTGGCTATCCCTCACCCTTACATGCCACGTGCTGTGCTAAATTCTTCTCAAGAGTTAGCTTGCTTAATCCCCATGACACGGCAGCAAGTCAGGTGCTATTATCTCCAACAAAAAAGAACAGATGCAGGGGGTGGGGGGGAATCCCTGCCCAAGGTTACAGAAATAACTTTAAAAAAAATTAAACTGAAAAAAAAAATTCTGCTTAGAACACGTGACCTAATTTAGCCAACAGAAATCTGACCACACAGAGTAACGACTTCTTGAGAAGCAAAAATAAAGGCTTCCTGAAGAAATGAGCCTTGAAGCTCAACCGCATTTCTCCACCTGTTTTTAACTTACAAGGTAGGACTGGAATTTCAGAAGACATCTAAACTGTCTGCAAAGACTGAGAAAATGTTCCAGAAATTTCTCTGCCCTCAAATACCTTTCTGAAAACTGTGTTGAGGCGTTACATGATGATTTTAGAAAACACCGAAAGGCAGAGGAAGGAACCCCCAGTGACAGGCATGTGGTGCCGCCCAGCGGCTGGCATTTCTGCTCCGCAGCTTCTTTTCACTCCAAATGTTAAAAATGAAATTTCATAACCTTTTACACAACCCTTCAAATGTTTTCTAGATGATTACAGAGAGTCCCTGGTGGACACATACACACGTTTACTAAACATCCTTACTACTAGACCACTAACTTGTGCTGCCTTCACTTCATCCAGGAATTTCCAGCTTGAACAGTTCATTTGTTCAAATGAAGACCCCCCTGGGCAGGCTTACCGTCAGGACCACCGCTACCAACCCGACCAGGGACGGCTCACCTCGCCTTGGGGCCCGATAAGAAAGCGAAGAACTGCCCTACCTTGTGTGTGTCATGTGTCTTGGGCTACTCCAACATCTGTGTTTACTGCTTTAATTAAATCTGAAGCAGACATGGTGGGCTCTAGGTTGAACAGTCTCTCTGAACTTTACCTTTAAAATGAATTATTCTCCACCTAGGCAAATGTTCCCGCTCAGTGGTAAGGACTGTCATATAAATGCTGTCTTGCGTTCCATGGATTAGCAGCACTCCGCTGCACACGGTGAAGTGCTATTCAAAGTTCCTCAGATCATAGTAGCACAAAAACAGCAATATACTCTGCCAACAATTTCACAAGGGAAATTAAAGCCCTGCTTATTAACACTTTTGTGTTCAAGCTGAAGCTATTATCTTTTGGCCACTTACACGGAAAGAAGGGCAGAAGCACGTGTGCACTTGTGACTGACTTACCAAAGGCACTGAAGAGCTGGTAAAGGTCGCTCGTCTTCCACTCTTTGGGGAATGTCACGTGGAGAACATGATCCCGTTTAGGCTGCACTGCAAGACACGTTTTTGATGAAAGGCTAATCTTTGAAAAGTGATCATTCAGGCAAGTCAGCCATTATTTTGCAATACTGAACCCAAGCTAGCCTGGGGCAAATATTCGAAGTGCCTCACAAAGACCAAACAACTCCTCAAAGCATGTTTAAGACTGTTAGGACTCTGCCATGGCAACCTCGTCACAGGCCTTCGGAAGTGTCTGGAACCCACAGCAAGCTGAACCTAAGCATCTTCACCTCTCAGAAAGTTCCAGTACAAACTGTTATCAAGGAGAAGAAAAAGCTGCTTCTGTTCAGGAAGCTTTACTAAACATCTTGCTTTCTTTCTCTTTTTAGGAACGTTTGTTTATTTGAAATGCAGAGTGACAGAAAGAAAGAGGTAAAGAAATGGAGAGAGATCTTCCATCTGTTGGTTCACTCCCCAAATACCTGTTAACAGACTGAAGCCAGTAACCAGGAACTTCAAAGGCACTTCCTCCGTGGGCAGAAGGAAGCCCAATGTGTGGGACAGCACTGCCTCCCAGGAGCGTCAGCAATAACCTGGAAGCGCAGGCCCAATTTGGGCTGCAAGTGATCCAGGCTGTGGCTATGCCAACCACCTAACCTAATTTTTTTTTTTATCTAGCTGCCTATACATATTTTTTAAAACAAAAATAACGCACGACATTAAACAGGCCATAAGAGCCAAGGCCGGCAGCCTGAGTCACCATCATGTGTTTTAATCCAAGGTCTACCACTTAGGCATTCAACTCTGAATGAGGCAGCCACCACTCCAGCCACTCTACTTAGCTTACAGGGCTGCTGCAAGAAAGGCTAACGCCAAAGTTTCACACGAGGTGCACTGTGTCCTCAAACTATCAATCAACCATTATTATCATCAAACAAAACTCACCCATTTCCACCTGCACAGGTTTAATGACAAGCAAGACAAGGCTAGAAAGAGAACAGTGTAATGGAAGAATGAAAAAAGAAGCTATCCTGTCCTAAAAAAGGTGGCCTTTCAAGAATTTTCACCAAGGAAAGAAAAACAGTCCACTAAGTTTAAATATATACTTAGCTAACTGGAAAATAGAAATTCAAACACACTAAACAATATTAAAATCAATTGTAAGTATTTATAGGAAATGATAAATTCGTTGTAAATAAACTTCAATTAGTGCCTAAATCAGAAAACGTACAATATGACTAATGAAGGCCCAAGGGTCCCATTAACTTAAGGACAGTATTTACATCAAGCACAAAGTCACTGCCCATCTTAAAGTGAAAAGAAGCTACTTTTCCATTTATACGTGTCCTGTAATCCCTTCCAGACCACAGATTTAAATGTGTACACGCAATGAGAAAAGCACAAATTTACTTACAGTCTGGTCCTTCTAAGTTTAGATAGGGGATATCCATGACTCTCATAAGAAATAACCTATGAAACAAGAGAAAAGCGGGTCATGCATGGATTAATTAAAAAAAAAAGTGATACAGACTTCTATTAAAACTTCTGATAAAAGTTCCTTGATTGCAATACTCTAAAAACCATTTTAATTATTTTCATTTTATTTGAAAAACATACGGACAGAAAGTAAGCCATCCATTGGCTGACGCCCCAAGTACCTGCCAACAGCCAGGGATGGGACAGGTCTATGCCAAGACTGTGGCGTTCCATCCGCGTCTCCCACAAAGGGCCAGAGGCTCAATTCCCTGAACAATCATCAGCTGCAAAGCGATGGCACTGCTGTGTAAGTGGGTCAAGCTGCCACCCGCAGCACTGGCAGCCAACACCAGTGCTGGTTCAAGTCTCAGCTGTTCCACTTCTGATCCAGGATTCCTGCTAACATGTCTGGGAAAGCAGTAGAGGATGGTCTGACTTGACCCCTTGAGCCTATGTGGAAGATCTGGAAGAAGTTCCTGGGTCCTGATTGGTCTTGTCCCAGTTCCATTTTGGTCACATGGGGAGTGAAACAGTGGATGGAAGATCTGTCTCTCTGTACGCTATTTAGACATCTTAATTGGTTTGTTAACCATGGCACCAAACTCCCACCTCTAAAATAACTTACAAAACACTTAAAATTCACTTTTGTGATGTTTATTTCAAATAGGAAATATTTATTACAAACAGGAAAAAAAAAAAACCTGGAATATTCACTAAATCCACAGCTATTCCTGGCTCTTAGTTGCTTATTAAACATCACCTACATAGCTGAAATTAGTAATCAGAGTTGAAGGAAAATCCTGTTGCCTTATTGGGTAGTCCAAGGAAACAGAAAAAAACCAACTTGCTAACTCACAAATAAGTGTTCCTACAAACTATAAAGGGAACCTTAATGATGGGTGCTGATGAGCTGAGAATGAACGCTTAGGGTTTTTTAATTGTTGTTTTTGATGTAACTCAAAGAAACTGGATCGATGCTAATCAAGTGGGGTGAACTGTATAGTCTGAAATAAGGGACGGTCTCAAAAGCCCACATCATTATAGAGAGTTAAGACACACACTAAAATCAGAGTGAGGGCCCGGCGTGATGGCCTAGCAGCTAAAATCCTCACCTTGAATGCATCAGGATCCCATATGGGCACCGGTTCTAATCCCGGCAGCTTCACTTCCCATCCAGCTCCCTGCTTGTGGCTTGGGAAAGCAGTGGAGGACAGCCCAAAGCCTTGGGACCCTGCACCAGTGTGGGAAACCTGGAGGAGGTTCCTGGCTCCTGGCTTCAGATCGGCGCAGCACTGGCCGTTGCAGTCACTTGGGAAGTGAATCATCGGATGGAAGATCTTCCTCTCTGTCTCTCCTCCTCTCTGTATATCTGACTTCGCAATAAAAAGTAATACTTCTTTAAAAGAAAAAAAGAAAAAGTCAACTGAAAGTTCCATTTGAATTAATTTAGCGTATCGTGTGCACAGTCTCACCTGGCTGTGTGGGGGAGGGACAGACTGTAAAGCCACAAATGCAAATCTGCAACTACTTCATTTCTTTTAAAAATTCTGTTTCACTTCTTAAGCCACAGCACCTCTCAAGAATGAATTCAAAATTCTATTGTTCCATAAATACAAATGGATGAAAAAAGGTAGATAGTTTCTCCAAGGAAACATTTCTTTAAAAAACTATTTATTTATTTTTTATTGGAAAGACAGATAGATTTACAGAGAGAAGAAAAGAGAGAAATATCCTCCACCCAGTGGTTCACTCCCCAAGTGGCCGCACCAGCCAGAGCTGAGTCAATCCGAAGTCAGGAACCAGAAACCAGGAGCCAAGAGCTTTTTCCGGGTTTCTCACACAGGTGCAGGGTCCCAAGACTTTGGGCCATCCTCGACTGCTTTCCCAGACCAAAAACAGGGAGTTGGATGGGAAGCGGGGCCAACGGGATTAGAACATGGGATCTTGATGCATGCAAGGAGAGGATTTAGCTACTAGGTTATCATGCTAGGCCCCCAAACAAATATTTTTGAAAAATTTGTTTGAAATCTATCTCTATGAAGCAATATACAGGATAGCTGTTTTCTAATATTTAATCTGAATTTTAATACTATCTTTGATTAAATAAGTAAAAATCCATTATCAGCTGAATCAAAAGGTATCTAAAAAATTCAGTTAATCCTATACTATCTTGTTTGCACTCTTAAAACTTGAAATAGAAACTCTAGTCCAATTAATCAGTAATAATCTGTCTTTCCCTATGCCTCCAACCTTTGTGTCTAGGCTTGGAGAGAACTGAGTCTCCCCAGCCCCGGAAGCACATGACGACCAACTCTGCGAACAGCCACGCCATTGTGAAGCCAGCTCTAAAACCAAAGCCAGGAGTCTGCCAACAGAACCAAAGTAAACTTGCCCAGTGGCTGCCCGCTTCTTTGTGAGCCACTGCCGCCCTTTGTGAGTCCTTGCTGCCCTTCTGAAGTGAAATTAAAATGTTGTTGCTACGCATGTCCCCTTCCTCCACGCTGGCTGTCAAAGTACCTACACTGGCTCCCCGGGACGATCTGATAAGGCTCTTTATACCCGGATCATCTAAGCTGACAGTTTTCATCTTAACTCAGGCAGGAAAAGCACTAGACAAGCAAAAAATGCCAAGAGCTCCATGAAAGCGTGTTCTTTCGCTGTGAACTGCACTGAGGAACAAGCTCTCCCAGAAGGCCTTTCATCTGCAGATATCAAAAGGACACTTGGACCAACACTTGCACAAAGTGGTATTTCTATCTTAGCAAGTATTTGGGATGGTTGTACAATGATAAAAGTACTCAAATCTATGGGCAGGAGCCTTGCTTCATTCCTTCCTTTAAAAAACCTTTCTGTTCTTTAAAGGGTTGACACTAACTCAATCAACAACTAAGACAAAAACCCCATTTGATCCACTGGCCAACTTTACAATTTATCCCAGTAACTCAAGTTCACATTGATGTGAAAAAGTTCACATTACATGTCAAAAAATCAGTTTTTCCCGAACTCTGATGGTTGTCTTTTTTTTTTTTTTTAAACATTCTAAGAGTAAACTAATGGCAGTGCTGCTTCTCCTGGCTTTCAAACAGGTCAGGAGAGATTTAAGGGTAAAACACAGCAGACAGTCTGTCTCTTTCTCAGCACACTCCAACTAGCTAACTTCAGCTCAGCTCCTTGGCAAGGCACAGGAACAGGTTACACGCTATGGCAAGGGCTACAACACTGCCTTTATCTGCAAGGAGCCCCTGCATCTCTGCTAGCCACAGGCTGCAGGGCACTCCCAGAAAGCCAGCCTTCAGACCCAAGCCACGGCACCTGCATAGGACGCTGTCTCAGAAGGCTCTTCAGTCAGTGAGGAGCTTCAACGCCAGTGGAAAGCAGAGCAGGAGCACCGACTCGGGGGCCTGCTACAAAACCGGGCTCCCAACAGCCACACCCGGGAACTTAAGAGAAACACACGAGACAGGTCCTAACCCAGACCTAGCAAGTCAGTCCCTTAGGACTGAGACTCCCCGGGGCTCCCAGGTAGACAGACAGCTTCCATGTGGTGTTGTCAGTCACCATAAAAGATGCAGAGCAGAGACCTGTGATTATAATAAAAAGTCAGATGATAATAATGACTTCTTAAAGAGGTATTATTATTCTTAATGATCTGTTTTAATAATCTTAGAAAAAAATATTATAACAAACACACAGGACTACCTCAAAATCCAAGAAGCACTAACAGAAGGCTTCTACCACTCTCTGAAGTCAAGGGTCAAAATGTGGCAAGCAACTAGCTTCACTAAAAGAACATTTGGATTTACTGCTGACAGCTTCTGTTCCCATTTTTAAGTAGCAAAAAAGAAAAAACATAAGCCAACTAACCAACCAAAAAAACCCGGATTTCTCAAAATACTTTCTTGGCTACTCATCAGCAAAGTCAAGCTTGTCTCTTCTGTGCACTGGCCACTCATGCAGCACCAGACTGCCCAGCACCTGAGGGAGGTTAACACGCACAACACAAAGTGCCAGACACTTCGAACCTGTTGACATTCTCCAGCCTTGCCAAAGAGCTTCGGTGAGAGAGTGTACTGACCACAAAACATACAAGACTGCTCGGAGAAGTGCAGGCAGGTCAGGGGTTAATTCTCAGATGACACAGTACCTTGCCTTGGACTACGGTTTATCTGAACCATGCCCTAATTGTCCCGCAATACAGAAAGGATTGCAAAAACAATGCCAGTGTGAACCCAATCCATGCAGATCTACTTGGAAAACCAAAGGGCAGACAAAACACCTGGAACCACACGTCGGGAGGACTGCCAGGTAACTCAGCAAGCTTCCTCATGGAGGCTCAACCTCTGGAAAAGGAAAAGATTTTCTTCCGTGTACTAACATTTGGCACTATCAAATCTTCACATGAGATCACAGAGTTGACTCAATGTTCCATTTCTCTCTTGTAGCAGCATGCTCGGCTGTACTGTAACTGATGTTGGTGCAATACAGTGGCTCAGAGAGGTGCACCATGGTCACTTGGACAGTCTGTCCAGGCTGGACAAACCGTGTTGCACAGCCACTGCACTCCGACCCCAGCTCAGCTACCCAGGGAAGGCTGGGCAGAAACCATGGTGGAGCCACCCAACAGACCAGCAGAGGCCAGGCATGTGGTGCTGACCATTCTCTTGAAGATTCTGGAAAATTCCTTACTGCATGTTCTTATAAGCATTCCATCAATCAGTAGATAAGCCTTGCCGATCTAAATTAGTGAATGAAATACAAATGGGAAGCAAATGAATAGGGAAAATACACTAAAACAATGACCTTTTTTTTTAACTGAAGAATTATAAGAAGAATTCTTGTTGTATTTTTTTTTTATCCAGTACAAAGTTTCGATTAAAATAATAACAACTGGGGGTAGGTGCTGTAGTGTAGTAAGTTAAGCCTCTCACTGTGATGCCAGCATCTCACAGGGGCACTGACTCAAATCCCAGCTGCTAAACTTCTGTTCCAGTTCC